CAGCAGAGGCAACAATATCCTGGTACATGTTTCTTATTCTCTACTATATTATGTAATTGTATACAACGTCATATCAAATTTTTAGAGGTTTTATATTGATTTGGGGCCAGATTTGAGGGTGAACGGGCTATTGCACATGGTCGAAAATTTGTCATGATTACACTGTGGCAAAATAGAATTTTATAAGATATTATTTATGTTAAATTACATACGATCTATAGTTATTTTATTATAGTTAAACTGCATTAATTTAGAGTCTTCGAAAACTTGAGACATCTTAATATATTAAATATTTAATGGAAGTTTAACTATGACAAATATTTTATTAGAAATTATTTAATTGGGATGTATCTGTGACAAATTTTATACCTCGTTCTGCCTGCACGCTCTCTCAAAGACGGTACTGATTGTTTATGTTCACAAACATTACTATAAAAGATCAATTTTGTTAAAGTTGAACTTATGATTTTAGGTTATGTGTGATACTTATAATCCATCTGGAGAACCCCTTGCCAGCAACAAAAGAGATGCAGCTGCAAAGATATTCAGCCACCCTGATGTTGTTGCTGAAGAGCCATGGTATGGTATTGAGCAAGAATACACCTTGATGCAAAAAGATGTTCCATGGCCTTATGGATGGCCCAGTGGTGGTTTTCCTGGACCTCAAGGACCATACTACTGTGGTATCGGCGCTGACAAGGCTTTCGGGCGTGACATCGTAGATGCACATTATAAAGCATGTCTTTTATGCTGGGATTAACATAAGTGGCGTTAACGCAGAAGTTATGCCTGGCCAGTGGGAGTTTCAAGTTGGTCCAGCTGTTGGAATCTCTGCGGGTGATGAGATTTGGGTCGCTCGTTATCTCCTGGAGAGGATCACTGAGACTGCAGGAGCTGTTTTGTCCTTGGATCCTAAAACAGTTAAGGGTGATTGGAATGGTGCTGGTGCTCACACGAACTACAGCACGAAATCGATGAGAGAAGAAGGTGGCTACGAAGTGATTAAGAGAGCAATTTCGAACTTGGAGAAGAAACACAAAGAACACATTTGTGCTTATGGAGAAGGAAATGAACGACGTTTGACTGGAAAACATGAAACTGCTGATATCAATACGTTCAAATGGGGTGTTGCAAATCGTGGTGCTTCTGTTAGGGTAGGAAGGGACACTGAGAAAGCAGGGAAGGGTTACTTTGAGGACAGAAGGCCTGCTTCTAACATGGATCCATATATTGTTACTTCCATGATTGCAGAGACAACCATTCTCTGGAAACCATGAACAACTTTGGATTTGGAGTAATCATCACATTTGGCTATAATTGTTTCTTCATAATTGTTATGTTGTTATTAGTACTAAGTTGTGTTTTTTTTAATCAGTTTATTTGTTTGTTTAGAATTTGTGTGAAGTCTTGTTTTGATTCGAATGATGTTTAATGAAGGCCTTGTTTGTTTGTTGGTGGTTTTGACTAGTTTGAATGGGTGATTTGTTCTACTATGTTATGTTATGTTATGTTAAGTTTATTTGATTTGTCTAGCATTAATTTGATAGAAATAAAATAATTATTGAAGAAATATAAATTCTTTAACTGAATAGGGTCATTTACTGCTAGAGCTATTTACTTAAAAGCAGTTTTATATCAATTCTTTAATCATCATTCTTCTGTATTGAATAGAACATATCTCTATGTGGATTAATACTTGCATGAGTCAATAATACTCTTAAATTGATATGTTAAATGCTTGAAAATTTTTGAAGTCCTGAACAATAAGATAGGTTGAGGGATGTATTTAGCACAACTCTATTTTGATAATTTCATTACTTAGGTAGGTTGAGGGATGCATTTAGCAAAACTCTATTATGATAATTTAATTAGCTTTTTTGTATAGACTTATTTTAAGAATGCAATTTCTTATTTGTATGAAGTTGTATGAAAAAACTCATCTTTGAGAATATTATTTAGGAGATAGCTGCTTGGGGAATCAAAAGGATTTTTTTACGAGACATTTTCTAAATATGAATTATACTACAACATATGAAATGATAAAAATAATGTGATTTTAGATTTCATTGATTTTTTATTCCATTTATATAGAATGTAAGAACTGTGTGGTTATGTTGTGTAATGAAATTGTAAATCTTTTGTTGCAATTTTTTGATTTCATTATGCTATGTTGTCCTTTCTCATTTTAAATAAACATGTTACATGTATATCTTAAGAATTCATTTCTACCATCACAAAATAGATTTACCCGTGCTACATTTAAATATATTTTATACTATATCAAAGTAATTTACTCATGCTTTATTTTCAAATGGAACCCTATAATTATTATCTGACCAATATTCATTTAAGACTATGTATATTAGATGATGCACCATTGTTCATCATTTGACTAATATATTGAATTTTTTTTGTATTTAAGAGATATTTAATCTATTCTATTTGTTTATTATCATTAAAATTACCATTTAATCTATTTTTTAACTTCAATAAAATTAAAAAAATGTATTTTAGCAAATTGAATAGTACAACATAACATACAACTAACTTTTTATCTTATGGGTCACTATCAAATTAGGAGCTTTATTTGAAGACATAATTCTTATTTTTAAATGTCATAATTTTTTCCTTTTCCATGTCACACGTTTTTTTTAATTATTTAATATAATTGAATTTATATAATAATTATTTATTTTACAATTATGCAATTCAATTTAAATTCATATGTGTATCTAAATACATCATTTGTCAAATTTACCATTATATTTTCTATAATCATATTATTTGTTGTAATATTTTGATTTCATAATTTTTCATTGTACTTTCCTAATAAAAATGAGTTTTTCCTAGGTATATTTAAAAATTATTTCTACAATATCAAAATAAATTCACCCGTGCAAGTCGCACGGGTCTCTGACTAGTATAAGATGTGAAATGAGATTTAATGATGAATTTTGTTGAATGTTTTGATGTCATGTTCTAGTCAGGTGATAGAGATACTTGCAAATCCTCTCACTTTAAGTTATTTATAGTCAAACGTGAGAGGTTTTTAGGATTAATGTGTATTTTGATGTGACATTGTGTGACTTTTATATAGGATTTTAGAGTTTTTAGGGACTTAGAACTTTCTGTTTTAAAATTGGTGGGTAATAACTTAATCAAACACACTATTCACACTTTGCACTTCTAGGGTAACCTCTCTTTGTTGCCTTCGAAAATAATGGTCATGTCCCTCAAAAGTAGGGATACTTTAGCAAAGACTCTCGAATAAATATCATAGTCCCTTGAAGACCCTTTTGGTGATACTTGATTTGAACAGTGCTTGTTCGTGCGTTTTTTTGGATTTGGATTTTGGGCTTGTAGTAAGCATTTTGGGCTATGCACATTTTTGATTGGGTTGTATACGTTTTAGTCTTTGGGTCGTGCGGAAACCTTCAACATTTTTTCTCTTATTAAAAAAAACAACACCACTTTTAATTATTGGTTAAAATATAATGTTAATAATAATAATTTACTAATAATGTTAGTAAAACAAAGAAAATTGAAATGGGCCAAAAGTTCATTTTATTGGGCCCTCACAAACAATTTGCTATAAGCCTTTTTTTATAAAAAAGCGTACACCTTCACATTTTAAAACAGGCCCCCAAACATTCTTAGTGGGCCATTCTATTTAACCAAAAAACTCCAGCACACCTCCCTTTATAGTCAAACGTGAGAGGTTTTTAGGATTAATGTGTATTTTGATGTGACATTGTGTGACTTTTATATAGGATTTTAGAGTTTTTAGGGACTTAGAACTTTCTGTTTTAAAATTGGTGGGTAATAACTTAATCAAACACACTATTCACACTTTGCACTTCTAGGGTAACCTCTCTTTGTTGCCTTCGAAAATAATGGTCATGTCCCTCAAAAGTAGGGATACTTTAGCAAAGACTCTCGAATAAATATCATAGTCCCTTGAAGACCCTTTTGGTGATACTTGATTTGAACAGTGCTTGTTCGTGCGTTTTTTTGGATTTGGATTTTGGGCTTGTAGTAAGCATTTTGGGCTATGCACATTTTTGATTGGGTTGTATACGTTTTAGTCTTTGGGTCGTGCGGAAACCTTCAACATTTTTTCTCTTATTAAAAAAAACAACACCACTTTTAATTATTGGTTAAAATATAATGTTAATAATAATAATTTACTAATAATGTTAGTAAAACAAAGAAAATTGAAATGGGCCAAAAGTTCATTTTATTGGGCCCTCACAAACAATTTGCTATAAGCCTTTTTTTATAAAAAAGCCATTCTATTTAACCAAAAAACTCCAGCACACCTCCCTTCCCAAAAGGGCCCAAATGAAACTTAACTAATAACCCCCCCCCCCCCCCCCCCCCCCCCCCCTTTTGTAAGAGAAATCGAGTGGCCTCCAATCCCATATGGGTCATTCGAGTGGCCTCCAATCCCATATGGGTCATTCTAATTTAGAAAAGTCCATTAATTCTCTAATAGGAAAATGATAATTATAGAGTTTGATAAAAAAAATAATTTGAAAATCATAGAGAAAATTTGGGGTATGACACATTGTTGTATCATTGTTGTAGGTGATCTTTGTTGAACAAGATATCTATGTAAAAATTATGTTTTTAGATAACACATGTGGGGTTTCTAAACTCGCACACACAGTTCCAAGCAGCAACAACATCCAACATAGATATCTTATAATACTTATGTATGCTCTGTTTACTAAAACTTCATGTTAATTTTGTCATGGTTTTGATTTTTTGTTCTAATTTCTCAAAGTTTACTGGTCCGGTTACTTGCATGTATTATAGGCTCTATATGGCGGATATGCAGAGCTTTCTCAAAGTTTAAAGGTATTATTTCTTGTGTTATAGGTTCTATAAAATATTTCTTCTGTTATAAGGTTTGATTTCTGATTTCTTTTATGGACATGGCCATGGCAAGCTGACTTGTTATTAGACGAGATAGCCATCAATCATTTTTCGAGGATTCCATGCACGAGAAAGAATCAGCTTTCTTGGTAAATTACTTTTATCTTTATGCATATTTCTTATATGATAGATTTTAAATACCATCCAGTACTAGACTTAACATTGCTATACTTTATAGTGCTAAGTAGATTGTTGTTGTGAGAGCTTCTGATGATTATTTCCCGTGTGATCTTGCTTCTCACATGATCCATATTTCTTCTATTGTATACAATTCCTTGTTGAAACCAAAATGAGACATGTACCAAATTGGTTCTTTCTAATGGTTTAGTTATTTGGGTACAGTTACCTGGCAGGCTTACACACGACTCTTTATTTGTTGATCCCACGAGAGATAGAACTAGGTTTAATTTTTCTTAACTCTAACTAATATATGTTTCTTAGACATAAATTGAGACTTGTTTATTAACTTGAGTTGTGATTTTTAGTTTGCTCAAATTACGTACTAGAGTTGATGGTGCATTTATCTGCCAAGGTGGTGGGTGGTTCAAGGTAGATAAGACACCGATGGGTTTGGGGAATGATTGAAACTATTGCTAATCTTTTTTAGAAAATTTAAACTTGTATTATTTATGTAGATATAACGAATTTGGAGTGGATGGAGGACCTTAGGAGGTGGTCCAAACACGATTCAAGTTGCTGCAAACGTTGTTTGTTTGATTGAAAATTTCATCTTTTTATAATATGAAATGATTGTAATTAAAAAGTTATGAAAAATGATGCATAAACTATTTTGTTGGCTTAATACATTAAACTCTAAAATATAAAGGACTATTGTTAATTGTATACTGTCTTTGAGCTGAAATTTTCCTTTTGTTTACTTCTTGAAATATCTTTCAAGTATAAAATGATAAATTTACATTTTCGCGGATTCAAAAAGAATGTTTTGGTAGTTATTGATACAGAAGACCACCCTGCCCTTCGAGAATTTCTTAAAGATAACTAAGACAATCATTTCAGGATAAGGCTTGCATGGAAAGCTTTTTAGCATGTTGTTTCCTATGATTCTGTAGTATTTGAGTGTTGTCGAGGTCAATGCTGGTGGAATTGCTATAACTATCCAACTTCATGGAAAGGTGTGAGTCGGCTACTTATTAATTTATCTAAAAATCTAAATTTATTTTTTGTATTTTAAAAGCTACTATATCTTGTTTGGAGGTATCTCGATATCGGTTTCTGAAGTGACTTATGAGTTTTGTTTTTAAGGGTTATCTTTGAGTTATTGCGTTGATCAATACTAGTAATATTTTTAGCAAAAGATTTAAGTTAACTTCATGTAGAATGAATTAGTTGAATTTTGAACAAATAATTAAATAAAGATATGGTGATCGATAACTAATTAATTTGCGAAAATTATTTGTCAAGGCAGTTAGTAATATATGATTTCAAAATGCATTAAAATTCCTAAAACACAATACTTTTTGTTCTTTTCTTTATATTTGTTGTGAATATATTTACCAAACGCTTTGTTGTTTGTCTAGAATGATCTGTTTATATTAATTTATGTATCATGTTCCTTGCAGAATGGAGACGAAGAAGCTTGTCATCAAGATATGGAAGAAGAACAAGAAGGAGCAGATGATCAAGAAGAAGAATATTATGCTGCATGAGTTTAATTAATAGAAGTTGTGTTTTATATTATCTATCTCTTAGAATTTTTGTTTTGAATTTGGAATGATTAGAGAGAGAGAAAAACTTGGTTTTGTTTAAGAATGATAATATCAAAACTTATCTATATGTTTGTGACTTATTAGTCAGTAACGTCACTTGATGTAGACTTACTTATTTCTTAATGTATATTTTAACGTTGTGGCTTAATATTTTCTTTTATAATTAGATTTTAATTTTTTTAATTCAATATCTAAAAAAAAAGAGTATTCTTGTTGGAAGACATGTTATATTCATCTAAAATGATTCTTTATGCTATGGCATGAAGAACACCATTGTCTCAACTATGCGGCACAAAAAGAAACTCTGGCCTATTTAAATGATCTAAAACTGTGAGTAAAATGTAGCCGCAGTTTTAATTAGTGATCATAAACAACCCGTGGCTAGATTCGGTGACTGTTAATAACCGAGGCGCAAAATAAACCGCAATCTTAACCTAGATACTTAAACTGTGGCGGATGACCTTTTTTTTTGGTAGTGAGACAGATGCAGATTTAACTGTTATGTGGATATATTTCATAGTTACGAAACAAAAGTCTGATCGAGGTGGATGCAAAGGTTGCTAGATCAATCGAAGATATTTTAAAAATGTTGAAACCTCCTCAATAATAACTTTATGATAGAATGTAATGTTAGATTTACGTTAACGATTATCAATGTAATGTTACATATTTTAGATATGTTATAACAATGATTGATGTTAATTTACATTGTTCTTCTCATTCTCAATCAATTTCTAGTTTGAGAAAATACATCATAATTAGGAGATATACTTCCATAACATTTACAAAAATAAAGTTTCGGATTTGTTCAGCTTCGTTTTGGCCTAAGTCTGAGTTTTGTCTGAGGTGTGAAAATTTTTAATGCATAACATTTCTGTATTTTGAAGACATTTATAATATTTTACCAGGATGTATAAGCACCACTAATGGTGCAATAAGCAATGTCCAAAAATTTTCCCTATTTAATCATAACTCAGGCCCAAAAAGGATTAGGGCCTAATCCTTTCTTCTTTATCTTCATGATTCATGAGTATACAAGTCAAAATAATACATTTTCTTAACTATAACAAACAAATTCTCTAGAAAGGCTCCACGTAAGGGTCCCAAATCTGATGTTCAAATTAAATAACCCTATTAAATTCCAACAGCACCATTCAACAACCAATACTAGCAGCCAAGTAAACCGCATCTCAACAAAATCACATATATCCCTCACTTTAACACATGACGTGTTCAACAAGAACATACTACCCTCACACCTAACCTATTTTCCATAACCTTAATGCGTGGAACATAATTTTCCCACACATTCATTTCATGGCTTCCATGCTCTCTTTTCTAAACTCACTTTCTTACAGAAAGAAACCTAGCAACAACGCTATTAAAGATGATCACATCAATGACGACTTAGCCATTGTGAAAGCAGCTGCATGGGCATGGTACCAACGTGGTTCCGGATCATGCCATGAAGGAGAGGCTATTTCAAGTGAGTTTTTTATCAGAAGGAATCGTCGCGAACCGAGACCTTCTCGTTATAAGTTAGAATTAGAAGCAAAAAGATCAATGGAAATGGAAATAAAGGAAAGTTCTCCGATTCATCACAAGAAGGAGGAATCTCTACTTGATGAATATGAAGTTCAAAGCATTTCAAGTCATTTGAATAAGCTTATAGTGTCTAATAATAATCAAAACCGCAAGAAACTTGTGAGTAGCACCGACAATATTGCTATTACAAGTGTAGATGGTGGTGCTAAAAAGAATAAGAAGAAGAAGATTATAAGAAAAGGGTTTTTCTTTAAGCATGGTGTTGTATGTGGAAGAGAAGGAGATGTGGTTGATTCAAGTAGTGTTGTCTCAAGAGGTCGTGGTTTCAAATAAATGTTTGCGATCGTAACACTTATATGTTGCCAAAACTGCAAAGAATTATGAGGTCCAGGTTCTCTAAGTGCTAACAAATTCTTAAGTTCTTCTTTCATTTTTAGCTTGTTATTAGGTTAGTTAGGATTGTAGGTTTTTTTTTTCCTTATTCTTTTCTAGGATACTTATTGTATTTTTTTCTATGTTTATCATTTTAAGCCTTATATATTAAGAATAAGTGCTATTTATTATTTTGATTTGGGTTAGGATCTATGACATTAAGGTATAATTCAGTAATCTCTAGAGATTCTATCTGTAGAAAATGCTTTACAGAAACTCCAATATAACTTCAATAAAAGATATGTTAGATCCATATTTCATACGCCTCAAGCGACGATTAAGACATTTTTGAATTGGTTCATATCGTCAGAGTTGCTTGAACATTGTTTAATTTTCATCTGAATTGAATCATTCTTCATGAGAATTGATTCAGGTGAAAAAGATTTGAACCTACATTTTTTTATTCAAATATTTGTTTTGTTTTCAACATTCTTTTGGATCCAAATCTCTCAAATATAAATACAAATCTCATTCATTTTATTCAATATGAAACTTCATATTCTCTCTTCTCTTATTCTCTCTCAAAAACCTTCCGAATGAAATTTTCATATTCACTCTTCTCCCATTCTCTCTCAAAAACCTTCGGTAATCAAATTTTAAAATTCTAATTTTTTTAAAGATCAATTATATTGAGATTCTAATTTTAAAATTTTAATTATTTCTGTCGAAGCAATATTCGACAGAGAGTTGAATATAACAAGTAGATAGAACTTACTTCGTGAACAAACAAACTCAACTATAAATAAGGAGGTACTCCATTATTGTAAAGGGATGGAGAAAGCAAAACAATTCAGTTAGAATTGAGATTCAATAAAATCCTCGTCTTCTCTCCCAAAACCCTAATTGTCATCTTTCTCTCTTTCCTCTCTCAATTTATCTTCTCTCATAATCGGTGCACAACTGAATCATCTTGCAATTAAGGAGTGATTGAAACACTCAAGTGAAAAGTGAAGAAAGAGAGGCGCAATCAATCTAAAAGATTTTGATTCTTGTTCATTAAGATTAATTCAAATTATTTTCAAGATTAGGATTAATTCCAACATCTGATATCTAGAGCATTTGGATGTGATTCTTGGGAAGCATAGTGTGATGAATCACACGAACTGGTATTTTCCATCAAATCTTCCAATCTTGAAAGATAAGAATTATGAGAATTGGTGTAAGCGGGTGAAAGTTGTCTTATGCTATCAAGATCTTTGGGATCTTGTGAAGAATGGTCTAACACCAATCGGAGAAGACACCATGGATGAAGAAACAGATGCACATTAATATTTGACGAAAAAAGATTATAAACCTCTCTTTATAATTCATTAATGTGTTGATCCAGACAACTTTGATAAAGTTGGTGATGTAGACTCAACGAAGGAAGCATGGGACATCCTGGAGAAATCGTTTAGAGGTGCAGAAAAAGTAAAAGAGGTGAGGTTACAAACTCACAAAAGAACATATAAATTGCTTCAGATGGAAAAAAGTGAAAGCATAGCTGATTTCTTCACTATGATTACGGAACAGGTGAATCAAATCAAGATGTATGGAGAAGTGTTGACATCAAGATCAGTTGTTGCAAAGATCTTCAGGTCATTGACTCTAAAATTTGATCGTGTGATTGTGTCAGACCCTAATTTTTATCCCTAAGATTCCACCTATCATCATTTGTGTTTTATCAAGATCACAAACATGATATCCTCCTAACCTTTGGATTTGTTTTGCGGAAAATATCACTAAGCACTGTTGTATTTCCTTTTTTCCTCTCATACTTTATTTTTAGCTAAACCTTATTCAAAATGAAAAAATATATCTTTCTTTGTTTTCTTTTAGTGCAAGGTACCGTTTCTCGATCAAAAGATCAAGTGGAGTTGATAAATTAGAGTTTTGGTTCTCAAGATCAAGATTTGGTCAAGAAGTGGTCCATTAAACCTTATTCTTTAAGGCATGAACTATAATCTTAGGTCTCATCCATCTTAAGCCTCATTCGGCATGGTTTGACCAAAGGAAATCCAAGTTTGATGCACATTCTCAAAGTTGATTAAAGTATGGGTCATGGTTTATTTCCATGCCATTTTCATCCAATTATCAAGGCATTTCCTCAAGGTTCTTTAAAATGCATTCAATGTTCTTTCATGAGGTGTTCAAATATTCACCATTGTGCCTTTGGATGCAAGAAAATAGAAAAAAAATATCAAGTTGGTGCATGGTTGGTTGACCTAAGATCAAGAATGGCATGCCATTTGGTTCAAGCCCGATAACTTCTTCATTTCTCAATATTGTTTAGGCCTTCTTCGAGCCAAATGTCTTTTTTGATGTTCTCTACAACTTCACTTCAAGGGTCAAATGCCAATTCGACCTCTAAGTCCATCAATTTTAGAATTTTCTCAAAGGCCATTTGTGCACAAAACTAGGTTCATGGCATGTTTGACCTAATTCCAGACCTTCAAATTAGTGTCACGACCTCAATTTTACCTTAGTTCCATTTTTAGCTCAAACATCCTTTTGAGTTGGTTCTTTTTTGCATTTGACTCCTCTCAATAAAAGGAACATTTGACTCAAGAAAAATCTCAAAACGCACAAGTATATTCCATTTTCCCTAAGCTTGAACATGGTGACTCAACTCTTCATCTTTGGTACATGACCTATTATTAGAATTTTCTCAGAGGATGTCGATGAAGCTTTCTGGGTTAAGATTTGGAGTTTAAAACAAAAAGAGAACTTATAGTTTTTTTTAGAGTTTCGGGCTTGAGAGAGTCAGAGTTTTTGTGGCTATACAAGCTTGCAAATGAAGGAAAAAGCTTCCTCTATTTATAAGAGAGTGAGTGAGCTCATGGTATATGTGAAATCCTTCTCCAATCGTTTGGACTGCAATCACTAAATCCTCGTAGGTATTTTTAGACAAACCTATTGTGCCAAGTTACTGAAACATAATGATGTACATAAAACAAAAAGGACTCCTTGTAAACCTAATACTCTATAATCTTCAATGTGAATGCTTGAATTCCAATTCAAGTTGTGAGCTCCTTATATATCATAATTCTTTTGGGCTTTTTTTCATGGATATTTGATTTAATTTCGTCCAGAATTGATACAGAATCTATGTGATATTATTTGATCCTTAAATCTCTCAAACAAGATATTGTTTGTTTCCATTTTAATTTTAATTTAAATATCCATTAAACCTGAATAAATATTCTTACAGCTGTCAAACAAATCACTTAATCATATTGTTACATCAATAACAATATAATCTGATCCAATATTTGATTAAAGAATCTTCCAAAGTGCATCAACAATGTTATGCGCAAGACTCAGATGTCGTAGCAACGTATTGAGGCATCGTGTCCAACATGTCTCACTTCTTCACCTCTATGAATCTTTAGCAAGCTAGATCAACTTGAAGACTTTGAACACTTATTCATCTTGTTGTTTTGCAAAATGCATCCAATCCAAAGGTACATTTCACAAAGAACTTCAATCTCTCCCTTTTTCAAATTGGGGCAAAACAACTCTTCAAGATATAGAACTTTGTTCAAATCTTCAAGACATAGCACTTTGTTTAGATCATAACAAGTGATAACGAGTAGAACCACTTGACTTCATCAACCTGTAGCATCACTGGTCTTCATCAGAGCATTCAGTCAGAAGCAACAACATTCTTCTAATTTATCAAAGTTTAAGCGGAGTATCAGCAGCAATCAGAAGCATTAAGATCAGATTCTTACACATAATCCATTCAGTTTCTCCAAACTAAACAAACAATCCAATCCATCATGAAATCATTCACAGACTTAGTCATGCATGAACTTAGTAAGCACATAGTTAGTAGCATACAATCCTACTACCTAACAATTATTAGCATGCAATAATTGATAGACTTAGTCAATGATTAACATTAATAGTTAGTAGTTAATAATTAGGATATTCAAAATCTACTAACACAAGTAAACTAACACTCAGGTATGTTTTCACGGATACAAGGGTTAGATGTCTTTCCTGATGATCCAGCATGGAGCATAACATTAGTACTTGATGATCAGCCAATACTAAATAATCACCAGTTTTATCTGCACACAGCAGATACACCACTTCTCCTCATTAGTGCCCCCTTTTTCCATAATTTTGCAAAGGGTTAGTTCTTCAAATAAGTCAACAAGCATATAAGATATCATGCACAAGGTCAGTCATGCAAGGTTAGTATGTTAGAACATACACAACCAAAAACATGAGTAAAGTCACCAGAATCTACATCAAAATATGGACAACATTATTACATAACCCAATCTCAAGAGGCTATAGAGCCTTACATAATAACTAGAGAAACATGACCAAAACACCTGAATTAAAGGGAAAACTCCACTGCTAGTCTTCAAATTATAGAAGACTCCATACTCCAGCTTCTTAGATTAACAACCAATGCAAGTTATCATCATCTAAGTCTGAGTCACAAGAATCACTTGACTTCGAAACTGCTACAATAATAACTTATATCCTTCTAATCTTCTCACGGTTCTTGTTTGTGAGCTTAATCTTCTTGTTGCCTCCAGAAGATTTAACTATGGAGAGGTTATTCCTAACTTCTCCTACTTTCTTGGATTTATTTAACCAAGACTCCAGCATATCACCAACATCCTTGGGGACTTCAATTTCCTTGATAGGTACGTTCACACTTGATTCTCCCAAATTATGATTCATGTCATGTGGATGAGTTGGGATAATCAAAGTTTGGTCCTGGATCTGAAGGTAATATGAATTACAAATAAGGTTTTTCTTGTTTGTAATAACACCCAAGTTGTAACATATCTTAGAGAACAAAAGGATTCTTCTTATTTTTAGTTTCGAAGTGGTCTTATGGGAGAGCAAATATTTTTCTCTTTTGGAATAACTCCTCAACATTTATTTCTACAAGGTTT